TTAATGAGAAGGAGAAACCACATGCTGACTCTTACTCAGGTGGTTTATTGTTGTTGTTGTCATACAACATGCCTAACACATTCGTGATTACACAGGCCTAAACACATTCTAACTTTGGTAAGAAGTAACATAATATATAAGGCAGCAGTTTCCAAATGTTCGTATATTTGTTTAAATTTGATGAGAGAATCTTGTGGCAGCTGTGGTTGTAGTTGAGTTGCCAATTCATTAATATAATTTTCTTCATTATCTAAACAAATACAGTAGTATACGAACATTTGGAAACTTTTCATGACCTTAAATAACAATGAATAGTTTATTATTATAAAAGTGTTACCTTTTGTTTGTTTAATAATTATCCTGACAGTGATACAGCCAAAAACAGATCCACCAATCACCTTTACACACAGCCTTCCTTTACCAAGTATTGCCAGGTAAAAGTGTCAGTAAGAGACTCAGGGTGGGGTCGGTGCGTCTTTGGCTGACTTTACCTTCACCTATCACATGTAGTACTACACTCTGAGTGCCCCTCTACTTCAAAGATTTCCAGACCTCAGTCACAGTTTAAAGCTATACTGTATAAGCTGTCAGTGATGCAGCTCTCACTTTTAACTTCCTCCCATGTTAATTATTGAGTCTACTCCTTTCTCTAACCCTTTCACTGCTGGGTGCCACTTTAAATATTTTGTATGGGTAACACTGGATGATTTTAGTCAGCAAAGAGAGAAACGCCTCGTACTCCAAGAGGTTATTGTTCAGTTCCGAATTCTGCTACACCATCATTCAATACTAACTTGATCCTAAATAAAACTTACAATACTCTACCACATTTAGGATCACCATCATCATCCACAGTTTTATACCCAGCACATGTCACTTCCTGCAGCACATACTGTACTGTATTTTCTTCCTCACTTAACCCATCAGAGGATCAACAACTGTGCAGCCACTCATTATCAGCGCTGGTGTGTCCCCTGCATGAGATAAACTACGAGTTGTTCAAGTGGAGGACATCTATAAAAGAGATTGTGATTATGTATTTTTCTGAGGTAAAAGATCTGTTCATCATGAGTAGTCAACATCTTGTCTGCATTACATGTACTGTACTTCTAACTTTTGGGGCATTGTTATCGCTACATTATTAGTCAGGCAAATGATAGCCGATAAATACAGTGCTGTAGCCTTTAGGGTACTACAGGTTCACCTATACAAACACATTCTGTACGCTCTGGCCAGTTTGAGCTTGTGTAGGATTGGTTTGATCACTTACACAGGCTTGTGCTAGTTAAGGACTGTGCAGGCTAGTTTGAGCAACTGTGGGCATTTACATCAATGTTTGGTCAATGTGACGGTTAATATCACATGAGAAAGTTATCTTGAACTGAAATTCATAAAAAATCTATGTTTATGGAAAGTTAAGAATAAAGAGTACAGTAATCTGAAGAAAAAAATATAGTGTACAGTAGTACTTTTGTAACATATCAAGCAGTACAATACAATACAGTATTGTGAGACAAGTTTTGGGAATAATCTCACCAAGTGCTTAGGCAAAGATAGCAACCGAAAATTTAATATCCTTGTATGATCGTCCAGTAGCTAGAAATGTTGATGTATCTGACAGTGTTTGGTGAAGTGTTGGTGTACCTAGTGACACAAGACATGTAACTTCCTCCAGCCACAGATAATTATACCTCTTATCTCAGCTCACACAAAAGAGCTGTATTGATCTCACTTGAGAAGCCAATTCTTCTTCTGTTGATTTCTTATGAACTTAGTTTTTCTATGCACAAAGCTATAGCACACTAGGTCATTGGGTTCACTTCATAGTCACATTGGAACTGAGTTACTAAGCTCAGTCAGACTGCATAGTGTGTATGTGCACAGGGTGGTGTACTGCATTTAGTGTGGCAGCATTATGTCAGTGTTAAGGTGCAAGCACTACTTGCTTCCTCTCACTTTCACCTACTGCTGCTGGCCAGCCCTTCTGGCGAACAGGGAAGCAACGTGCATAAGTCTTCCCCTGCCAGTACACAGCCTCTTCACCATCAAGACTCCTACTGTGAGCCGAGGCTAGACCAGCAGGGGATCTCAGAGTAGCAGTGGGCCCCAGAGGGACGGCGCATAAGCCCATTGGCATGTGGATACATCCTGGCGCCTACCAACCATTGCCCCGCTGCCTTGTGGATTACCAGTAACATTGGTAGGTATAAGGCTTCGGGAGTAAACCTCGAACGAAAATTCTGCTGTGGAGCCCCGCATCAGGCAGACATGCTTACGGAGCTCCAACAAGACCCCAACGACTACACCGATGGTGGAAGGCAATGCCTGATGGACAGACTAAGGCGAAACCCAACAAATGGGTTATCAGCAGTCCATTGCAGCCTGAGCTCCTGCCTCACCACATAAATCAACCAGGGTGCAGCCATCATCCAGCTCATCATCAAAACCCCTATACCCCAAAAGTCGTATGGCAACGGGGACAGGCAGAGATGACTGCCGGGAGTCTCTAGTCATAACTCTGCACATGGGCGGCACGGATAAGATGGTCGTTTATGCACTGGGATCTAGGCAGCAGTGCAATACGGTCCTGTCTGTGCATCTGAGTAGCCCCTTCGAGGAGCCACTCGCTCGCCCCACACAGGGAGGGGGCTAGAAAAGGTGCCCTAAACATAGCCTGCCTAAAGAACCAATCTGACTGGGCGACCGCACCCAGTAAGGTCATCCTTATGTGGTCGAAAACACAATTATAATCACAGATCAAAACAAAGACATACTATACAACCTCCTATGGTTGCTGCATGGAATGTCAGGACCCTTCTGGATATTGGTACAAATGGCGTCTTGAAAGAAGAACCGCCCTTGTGTCAAAAGAGCTGGCTAGGTATAACATCGACATAGCAGCCATTAGTGAGTCCCTTGGGTCAACTCACAAAACAGGGGTCTGGCTATACCTTCTTCTGGAAGGGTAATCTTGCTGCAGAGAGAAACCTCATTTATGGGGTTGGCTTTGCCATCCGCCAATGCATCCTACACAGGCTAACTGAAATGCCTGTTGGGATCAACGAACATCTCATGACGCTCCGAGTCCCACTGAATCACTCGCCATGCCTTCTTCATCAGTGCATACGCCTCAACACTGAATGCAGAGGATGACATCAAGGAGGCCTTTCATACCGACCTCAACAGAGTGCTAACCTCTATCCCCAGTGAAGACAAGGTTGTGCTCCTTGGTGACTTCAATGCCAGAGTTGGCAGAGGTGCTAACATTTGGCAGGGAACCATAGGGAGAAATGGGCTAGCCAAGTGTAATCCCAACGGCCTACTCACCCTATGCAAGTGTGCTGCACACAAACCTCACTATCACCAATACCTTGTTTAGGCAGGCCGACAAGTTCAAGGGTTCTTGGCAACACCCACGATCCAAACACTGGCATCTCATTGACTACACCATTGTCAGAGAAAGAGATCGCCATGATGTCCTCATCACCCGTGCCATGCGTGGCTCAGACCACTGCAACACTGATCATCAGCTCATCACAGCCAAGCTATCACTTCATGTCGCCCCAAAACGGCGAAGGCAGCAAGCCTCCCGAAGAAGTTTTAACACTAAACGTCTGGAGGATCCAGCGGTAGCACATGCTTTCAAAGAGCAGCTTGAACATGGGCTGATAACCCAACAAACAACCAAAACCCAGTGCCGAATGGGATATTCTCGACACTGTCATGACAAAAGGACTGGTACGATGAAAATGACCCGGAAATCAATATACTCGTTGATGATAAATGTGCTGCTTTAACTGACTGGCAGAACAACCCTCAGTGTCGGACCAAAGCTGATACATTCCGCTAGAAGCAAGCGGCAGCCCAGCGGGAACTTTGCAATTTAAAGAACGATTCGTTAAAATAAAGCATGTGAAATGCAAAAAACTTACAGATCAACACAAGATGCGTGAATTTTTCAATTCTGCTAAAACATATTATGGGCCAATCACTCATGACACAGCCCCCCTCCGCTCATCCGACGGTAACACCCTAATTAAAGATGAAGAAGGCATCCTTCAGCTGTGGAAAAAACACTATCGTTCGCTGCTCAACCGAAACACCGATATGGATGTCCTGACTACCCAGCAGGTCCCTCAGCATCTAGAGCTGACCCAATTCACCTATCCTCCATCCCTGGATGAAGTAGCTACTGCCATCAAACAGATGAACAATAACAAAGCCTCAGGGCCTGATGGAATCCCAGCCGAGGTATATAAAGCAGGAGGACCTCTGCTTACCAGCCGTCTCCACTCTCTCCTGGAGAATATATGGGAAAAGGAGGAAATCCCCCAAGCTCTTAAAGACGCCTCCATCGTCAATATTTATAAAAACAAGAGAGACTGGTCAGACTGTGGCAACTACCGCGGGATCTCACTGCTCTCCGTAGCTGGCAAGATTATCGCCCGAGTCCTCCTAAACAGACTTCTTCCTCAGGCAGAAAACTTCCTCCCAGTATCTCAGTGTGGTTTTAGACCATCAAGTGGCACCACTGGCATGATCTTTGCCTGCCAGGTACAGAAAAAGTGCAGAGAACAGCGTCGTGACCTACACATGGCTTTCATCGACCTAACCAAGGCCTTCAACTCGGTCTACAGAGAAGCCCTCTGGTGGACCCTCAGCCGTTTTGGCTGTACCATAGTGCAGGCACCAGTCTGGTGGCCAACTCCTTTGGACATTTTTCAATCAAGTGACAGTCTGTAGCATATCTCGGGGACCAGACGGGTTGACAGTACTCCAGGCAGGGAAGCACCTCACTCTTGAGTCTTACGAGAGACGGATCGTCTAGATATCTGAATGGTCTTCTTATAAGACCTACTGGTTTAGTTGCCTGATTTACCTTCTTCTCACAATGGCCTGAGAACTTCAGTTCATTGTCAACATACACACCTACATAGGTCCTTCTCACAGTACAGTACATGGCCTAACAATACTCCAGGTTAACAATGAACTAAATAACATTGACTTATTAAAACCTTTTATTTTTATAGATGACAAAATTGTACTGAAATTAATACATACAAATATAAAATGACCTTGACTTAAAAATGAAAAGCAGTCTCAAGCATTTTATTTGTCTTTTTTAGTTTTGGTATTATTTGTGGACTTGACCTCCCGGCGTGGCCAGATGAGGTACCATAAGGAGAATATCCCAAAGACGAGAGTTTGTACCGTCCAGGTTATGGTCACGGTCACGTTGAGCTTCAGCTTCTGGCACAAGTACACAGCCACCATAGCTTCTGTGATGTGGATAGCTGCCGTGGACAGTGTTCTGAAAAATACGCAACACTATGATACTGTACAGTACCTGCTGAATGTCGAGTCTTGGAGGATCAATAACTCTTTTACAGAACTCACTCACTCTCACAGCCTCAGGTATACACTTTGTAAAATACAGTACTATACTGTAGCCTGTGGTATAGGCTCAAACACCCTTTACATTCATAGCATAAAAAAGTGTAGCACAGTACAGTATAGTAATCCTCCAATATGTTGTGGCTTTACAGTAGTCTGTGTGGCAGCCAAGACTTGATCACTTAATCTCAAAACTTTAGTATATTTTGAATATTAAACAGAGGCTTAATATGATAATCATTAATAGAGTTAAATATGTCGGTGGGAGACACAATAGTGTGTCATGAAGGCAGGAGTAAATAATAACTGATTGACCAGACTCCACAGTGTCTGATGTTTGTATAAAGAATATTCCTGGCAACTGTTCACTCAAGGTGTTGACTTAAGTTTAGCCGTAAAGCAATTAAATACACATACAGTACATGGATGTTTTACATTATGTACAGCATAAAACAAATGAATACACGTACTTAAGCTTACTATTCTTGCCAGCTTACATCTTGAAGCAAACAAATGAAAAGCTTTTAGGTAAAATGCAGAACAGTAGAGACCTTTGTAATCCATGGGCAAAATGGCAACTCACCCTCTTGTTAACAAAAATTACAGTAAAGTAATGGTAAGAGATGGTGGTTGAGGGATGGATGGTGGTTGAGGGATGGATGGAGGTTGAGGGATGGATGGTGGTTGAGGGATGGATGGTGGTTGAGGGATGGATGGTGTTTGGAGGATGGATGGTGATTGAGGGATGGATGGTGGTTGGAGGATGGATGGAGGTTGAGGGATAGATGGTGGTTGGAGGAAGGATGGTGTGATAGTGGTTGGTACTCTCTCCTCCCATGTACTCATAAGATTCAGGGCTGGTATACACAAAACTTTTCTGCTAGTGACATAATAGTTCTGTTAGCTAGCAGTCAAATTTAAAAGTTATACACAAAGCTTAACTAGCAAACTTTTACCGCACTAATAGTTGTTTGTTAAGTACCCCTAAACAGCACTAAGGATACCGGGAGTTCATCATATAAAATGGTCTTATGGCCGAATAACCTCAATAAAATTATGAAGATTAATTACAATATTTACATTTATATTCATTTTGATCATTAAAAAAAAAATCTAATCTATGGAGTTTGGAGGAGAATTTATTACCCAAGGACAGTGATCGGTGGCTTGGCCTTGTTGTGTTATTGAGGAGCGGACAAGTTGAACATAATGGAAGTCTCAACCCCACGAAAGAAAAGGAAGCCCAGCTGGATGGCAGACCAGACTTTATTATTGGTGGCAGCCATTGAAGAGAAACAGTTAATACAGTGGTCCCTCGGTTAACGACCGGTTCGATTAACGAAGTTTTGGTTTACGAATTAGCTCCCATAAGGATTTTCAGTTCGATTAACGAAATCCTTACAACAAACAAGTTTTGTTATGCGCATCAGCTGATCGGCTAGTCCGCCAATACAGTAATGTTTACATTCGTTTCCAGTGAAGTAAATATCAAGAAAGTTGGTCTCTTGAATGTTTCTGCAGTTTTTATATTAAAATTATTGGTCATTCTGAAATTTAGTTAACATATTGATAATATATACAGTACAGGGAACAGTTATTGTGTGCCCTTCAGTTGATCGAATCACCCACCAACGCTTCTCAGTTTAACTTTGTTTACAGTGGAGTGAACATCGATTTTGTTGGTCTCTTGAGTATTTTTGCATCTTTACATTAAAATTATTGGTCATTCTGAAATTTAGGTAACATATTGATAATATACAGTGCAGAAATTATTATGAAACATGAGGAAAGCATTAGAACCAATGCACTCTCCAAAGAATATGGCATGACATCATCAACATGCCGGGAATACGACATACACACCTCAGAGTAAGTTAAAATATAGTATTCTACTGTTTTTTTATTTATTATTGTACAGTATACTGTACAGTACGGTACTGCATTTAGTTTATATTTAATGTTTTGTTAATTCTATTACTGGTATGCTGTACTTTGTATGTACAGTAGGCTCTCACCAATAACGTTTAATAGGTGCCTGAAAAACACTGTTATTAGCGAAAACGTTATTTGTGTGACATTAAAATACATGTAAAAAGGGTTTATTGGTCCCGCCGCCCCAAGAATTTCACCCATTTTTTCCCCTTGAAGCCCTCCTAACACTTTTTGTTCGCTGAAATAAAAAGAATTGCTATTCAATCATCAAAATAAAGAGTTTGAATAATATAACACTTAGTTTTTGAGGTGCTTGGTGTGATGGTTGTTCCGTATGTGAGGGCCGCTAACACTTGCACTGTCTTTCATTCTTCAAGCTAACCATTTCACAAGAAAATGCTCTGTTATCACTAACAACCTGTTTCTATCACCTTTATCATTCATTGCTCGCCTCGCATTTCCATCACTACCGAAATATTTTAGCCAGCGCAATACTCTTCTTGGTCTCCTCTAAGTTCCTCTTAATATTTCGCACTGTAGACTCAGGACAGTTCAATTTCCTCACTTTAAAAGTTCCCAGTCATTCAGGTGGCAAATCACTCCCTCCACCACCTCCCCTAGCCCCCACAGGCAAAAATGCGGAAGCCATTATTGATCACCGACCCTAACAACCACTGGTTATAGAGGCGAAAAAATCTCCACACTGGCTTAACAGGTCGGCCTTAACAACAGTTTGGTAACACTTAAAAGTTTTGTGTATACCGTACTCAGGTCATCAGGGTGTCTACTGGCCTGACAAAAAAAATTCCTTGTCTTTTCCAGGTTTTCCAGGTGTAAATTAGAACAATTCTAGGTACATTAATTCGGTATTTATTATGACAGAATTAGCAAATTAGAGGTTTTCAATAATATGCATCTATATACTAGTATTGGGAAATTTAAAGATGATATATATATAATATAATATTAAACCTGGACATTCTCCCCCTCCATATTTTTATCCTCGGAGTTGTGCGACTCATCTGGGGCGACCTGGAGGTTTAAAAAAAAGCTGGAAATTCAGCAAAAACCAAAAAATCACACCCTCCTGATTCACTTATATGACTCATGATAAATGTGGGATAATCCACTTAAATATAAGAAAAAATTCATCTCTGACAATACAGTTACTGGAGTGGTCGACTGGGATTTTTCCTAGAAGTTTAATTATTTACCTATTATACAGTACATCATTAATTTATAGTAACATTGCTATCAAAATAACAATATTTTGAAGTTGAACTGAATTCACATAAAATTCCAGGTTTATTTGTAAATTCCCTGCCCTTTCCAGGTTTTCAAGAGCAGTAGACACCCTGGTTATATATTTGCATCACAAAAGGTTGGTAGTCAAATCTTACAGAAATACAGTAATCATAAAATTCTCCCCTATTTGCTCTTCCTTTACATAATGAATAACACAATACAGGTTACAGTACAGTACACTATCATTACATGTTAACTAAAATACAGAAAAATATTTAAATACATTTATGTAAGAAATTTTAGATACCATACATAAATATATTCCTAGTTTAAAAAATCCAGCAAATTCCTGGCAGCTTTTGACTCTTCACAATACAGCATTAACCAAACATTAGTAAAGTAAATATCTGTTCTCATAAACTCAGGAAAGTTTGTACAAGTTAAAAAAAATAAATAAATTAACAAAAGGCGAGATTTTTTACTCACAGCTGTTTCATAAGAACGTTGTTTTCAGTTCCAAGCCAAGTGGCAAGCTCTGCAACACGGCCAAAACATAGTGGAGAAATGTTCTTTGGATCCAGCCAGGCCATCTGTCAAACATTTAAATACTGCATGAAGAATTGATTCATAAGTTCCATTATAAACACAAACTTAAAATGACATCTCAAGTAACTCAAGAGAGTGAAACCTTCATATGGAAGGTCCGTTAGATGTACGACCTCCATGTCATGAACTATATAGATATGAAAGTGCATTATATGGAGGTTTCAATGATCAATTAAGTCCATGGAATTAAGACACAGGTTATAAAGACAAGAGTGTGAACCGGGATACATTGGTTCCCATCACACTCGGACAACTAAAGAGACACTGTTGAGTATGTTAATTATCACTCAAGGTTGAGTAAGTGCACTCTCACCCTCATCTGTCTCTTCTAAACTCTCCTTTTATGGGGGTCAATCCTCTCTTCCAGGTTGTGTACATCAGAGTTACCCAACAGGTGGAGTGAGGGAGGCTGCCAGCATCACCTCCAGGTTACATTATAAGATGGAGTTGTACCACCAATTCTTCACTAGCAACTTAATACCTGGCTCACATGATTCATATACTGTATCTGATGGCAGCTCATCAGTACTGTAGAGGGAGGGAAGGAGGAGGCAGAAAAGTTCTTTAAAAGCATCTAACACCGGGGAATACTAACTACTGACATAAATGATACAATATAAGGAAAGAGCAATAACATAACAGTCTGAGAGTAAAGTTTGTTCATCCAGGAAATAACCAAGGTGAGAACTGACAGGTGGCCGAGCAAAAGACACCGTAAAGTTTAATGAATGACTGATTATAATGGTTGATTTTATGGTAAAAGTTGGGAAAGGGAAAGTAGCACCAGAAGTAGGACCACATGGGTTGGTTAATAGAAATAATAGAAGAGAAATATTAATTGACTTTTGTAAAGAAAATATGATAATGATTACAAATACATGGTTTAAAAAACACGCATTACAGTAGTGCACTAAAGTAGTACAAGTTGTTATTTGTGGTTTTGCCAATTCGGGCCATTCCTTGGAACCTATCCTTCACACATAGCAAGGGTTTACTGTACTGTATTTGGTTTGAGAATTTTCAATGGAAGGATTTTAATGGTCCAAAGAAATTTGTATATTGTTTTTGTTGATTTTGAAAATTCTTTTGATAAGGTAAAGCCCAATAAACTTTTAGAGATCTTGGAAAAAATAGGCATTAATGAAGGAGATAATAGTGTTAAAGAATCTTTACTGGCAACAGGAGGCCGAAGTGTTAGTAAATAATGAACTATTGGTTCACAGTTAGACAGGGAGGAAGACAAGGCTGTGTTCTGTCTCCAACATTGTATAATATATATTCATAATGAGAGAAGTTATAAAGGACTTAGGTTAATATACAAGGTGCAGATGATACTGCTCTTATAGTCAAGAGGCATTACAAAAACTGGTTAACAGATTAGTGGAAAAAGGTGAACAATATGGAGTTAATGATGAAAAGACTGAACTAATGGTTGTTTACAAAGTGGAAATAAATCCTATAATAGAAATTATGGTAGACAAAAGGGAACTTAAATTGGTGGATAATTTTGTGTATTTGGGAAGTAACAATAGCTGTGTGATGGTAGATGTGCGGAGGAAACCAAAACAAGAATAGGTCAAGCAAAAACAGCTTTTAATAATATAAAAGACCCAATGAAAGGGACATTAACTTTAATTTGAGAAAAGTGCGGCTGAAAGGCTTTATATGGCCAGGACTGATGTATGGGTCAGAAGCGTGGACACTTTCAGCAGACACCAAACAGAGGTTGTGGGGAGGCCTTTGAAATGTGGTGTTATAGGTGAATGTTAAGAATAAACTACACTGACAGGAACACAAGTGAAGAAATACTGAGACTAGCAAAAACTTCAAGAGAAATATTTGAATTGTATAAAAAAAGAAAACTGAAATACTTTGGTCATATAATAAGGAATGAGGGAATAACTTACTTTACTTTACTTTTATCCTTTTCACCACTGATTGGCTTTTTAGCTGCTTCGGCGATCGGTCACGTCTCTGTTACGCACTGTTGGCAAGTACTGGGCATGCACCGGCTCCTAAATGTACCTGAACCCGCTCCAGTGTTGGTCAAGTCTTGTCTTGAAAGAGCTCACACTCGGTGCCGTCACAACACTTTCTGGTAGATTGTTCCGAGAGTTCACAACTCTCACTCCAAAAAAGTTACACCTCACAGTTTTCTGGACCTGCGGCTTCTTTAATCTTGAGCTGTGACCCCTGGTGGGGCGACCGTCCGCCAGTAAGGACACTCGACTGAGTAGTGCCCCTTGAGATGCTCACACACCTCAATAAGGTCCCCCCTTGCCCGTCTGTAGTATAAGCTAGGCAAGTTCAGGCGCTCCAATCTCTCAGGGTAGTTGAGATGCCGAAGTGCAGGCACCTGTCTGATGGCCCTCCTTTGAACATTTTCAATCAACTGACAGTTCCTAGCATATCTCGGGGACCAGACGGGGTGACAGTACTCCAAATGAGGAAGCACTTCACTCTTGAAGGGACGGACCGTCTAGATATCTGAACGACCTTCTTATAAGATCTAATAACTGAGTTGCTTGATTCACCTTCTTCTCATAATGGCCTGAGAACTTCAGTTCATTGTCAACATACACACCGAGGTCCTTTTCACATTCAGTCTCAATTAATGTAGTTTCTTCGTCCCGTTGCGACATATGATACACCTCCTTACCGTTGGTACATCCCAGGTGCCCCTCAATTATGCTGTTCAGTTCTGGTGCCCTTATTATAGAATGGATATCAATTCACCAGTCGGTGCAGCGAAGAATGAGGAAAATGATTCCGGGACTTAGAAACCTTCCATATCAAGATAGGTTAAAGAAACTTAACTTGCATTCCCTAGAAAGACGAAGAGTGCGGGGAGATATGATAGAAGTATTTAAGTGGGTGAAAGGAATCAATAAAGGCGATATAGATAAAGTTCTTATAATATCCGAGCAGGATAGGACTCGGAGCAACGGATTTAAGCTGGATAAGTTTAGGTTTAGGAGGGAGATAGGAAGGAACTGGTTCACAAATAGGGTGGTGGACGAGTGGAACATGCATACCTACATTGCTTGTACACATGCTCACCTGTATACCTGCATTGTTTATACAGGAGGTGTAATATGGACCTGTGGTTTACCTCTGTATTCTTCTTATGTACTAATATATGTCTAAGGGATGTAATGCTTTTAGTTTTACATAGCTATATGGATAAAGAGTTAGTGTACTATCATTATGCACTTGCCTGAATGTCTCTTCTGTGTTTCAGTGTTTCATAATCACATTTTGTTGTATCCTTTAGTTTCTGATACTATTGTATTGCTGTAGGACAGTTATAAGGTGAATAAAGCCTGGTGAGGTACTGGCAAACTCTGTTTCATTAGAGGAGGTCCTCGTTATCCGCGGTTAATGGGGACCGGAAAAATGCCTCTCATAACGAATCCACTTAAAGCGAGGAATTAATCCCTTAAGAAATAATGGAACTCTGAAGAAGTGTGTCGAAGAGATGGCGACTAGCAGACCTACTGTTAGGGGAGAGGAGGAACAACGGGAACGTTTCCAGCGCAGGAACAACATAATAGTTTATGGAGTCCCTGAGAACCAGTTGGATGAAGCGGAGACTAGGAAAACACACGATAAGTTGCAGTTTGAGAATATTTGTACAGCGGCTCTGAATATGTCACCCCCCCTCCCCCCCCTCAGGATGTGAGGAGGCAAGGACAAAAGCAGGGGGATAAGCCTCACCCCCTCAGGATCACACTAGTAATTGAGAAGAAATGGGAGGTTATTTAGAAGGCAAAAACTTCGCAAGGAGCGAGGCATTTTGGAATACTGTATATTCATTCACCCAGATCGCATGGTAATGCAGAGGAAACAGCACAAGAAGCTCCTGCAAGGCTTGAAGCAGTTTCTTTTTCAGAGTGAGAGTTGTGAACTCTTGAAATAATCTGCCAGAGAGTGTTGTGACGGCACCCAGCTGTGAGCTCTTTCAAGACCAGACTTGACCAACACTGGAGCAGGTTCAGGTACATTCAGGAGCCGGTGCATGCCCAGTACTTGCCAACAGTGTGTAACAGAGACGTGACCGACCACCCAAGTGGCTAACGAGCCGATCAGTGGTGAAGAGGATAAAAGTAAAAAATGTAAAAAAAGTGATGTTAGTTTAAAATTAATGTGGTTAATCATCAGGTGAAATACAATAATGGAGAGAGAGAGAGACACCTTACTCACCACCATCAGGTAGAGCCCTACACCTATTAGGGCCATAATAACGGGGTTCACCAACTTGAAGTAGTTATCGGGAAGCTTCTTGTACTTGCCCATTGCTCCTGGTGGCCACCTGCAGAAATTAATGATGACTTAAATGATCCAGAAATAAATAAATAAATAAATACCCTGGTAAATAAACATTGATAATGATAATAATAACTAAAAATAAGTGTACTGACAAATAGTTGAAATAGTCTACTTTCACAACTTTTAAAAACCATAATAATTCATAACTTACAACAATGAATATAGGTAAGTCTATGTAATTGATATGTATAATGTGTATGGATATGTACAGTACTGTATATTTATAAAAATGAAAATAGGGTTAAAAGAACTTGCACTCCTGCGATACAGTACGTCTGTATCTTTATATATACAGTATACAGTCCAGCATAAAGTGTTCGTAGGCAAGAAATGCTCGACGTGTAATCAGTCAAAATGGCATCGTTGGGACAGAGTTGGTTACAGTAGAGAAGTGTTCAGGATGAATGAAAAAAGTAATAACTGTATTACAAAAAAATAAAGAATTTATATTGTACAGGCATCCCTTGCCACACGGGCGTTCCCTTATACACATGCTCTCCATTGTTGTACCACTTTCTCACTGTACAAAACTTTAAGGTAATGTACTAAATTCATACTTCATTCATTTCTTAATGTGCTAGGTGCTAAATTACAATACTGTACAGTGATCCCTTGGTTAACGAGCTCCTCGGTCAACGAGATTTCGGTTAACGATTTACCTTCCATAAGATTCTTAACTTCGGTTAACAAGCAATCCCTCGATTAACGAGTTTTTTACGAGCCGACCTAAACATGTTTTCGCTTGCACTTGGCGGTTCACCAGCTGTAGTATTAGTCCGCCAATACAGTAATCGGTTTTAGGGCTTAAATTCCTTACTATTTTAGTAAATATCAAGAAGTTTATACTATTCAATAATTTTAAAATTTTAATATTAAATTTTTTAGTCATTTTAACAATTATTGAACATAATTGAAGGGAAGGAAACTAGTTTCATGCGCGCTATCCAGCCCGGAAACACACCAAACATCTTGCTTGAGACTCTCTTCAGTTAAACGCTTTTTTTCTGTGTTTGCAAGCAAATTACTGGTCATTTTGAAATATATTTTACATATTGATAATATATAATGCAGTGCAGTGTTGACTTAAAGAAAATAATCTTGAATTACACCAAGAGGACTAAAATTTTATGGGTGAAATGGTGCCATGGGGTGACTTCTCTTCCACCTCAATGCCTTCTCTTCTCCCTTCTCCTCCACCCCCATTCTAATTCCCATCATCATCATCATCATCATCCAGGAGCCTTCTACATACACACCTCAAAGAAAGTGTACTTTTCTACCTTTTTTGTTGAATTTAGGCAATTTTCGGTGAGCTGGAACCAATTACCCAAAAACCCATTGAAACAGAACAGACCAAACCAAACAATCCTACCTAACCTAACCTAACCTAACCTAACCTAACCAAACAATCCTACCTAACCTTACCTAACTTCCCCAGTATATTAAACAGAAAATCTTACTATGATTTGGTGAAATTTGAGGCATTTTCTGGACGTGAGATGATACGCCGCATCGGCACTATGCAGCCCGGGCGGGTTAGTCCTATATATTAACCATTTTATATCCCAAGCAACAATTATTTTCGTGTAATGATGGGAATGAATGGGGTGACGAAACGGGTAAAGCTGTGGTGGCGAAACGGGTAAAGCAGTGGTGACGAAACGGGTAAAGCTGTGGTGACGAAACGGGTAAAGCAGTGGTGACGAAACGGGTTGGTGAGGATATGGGCAGACCCCGGGTATTCCATCAAAACACACCTCATAAAAATACTAAAATAAAAATACATAAACCATTATTGAACACTAAAAAGGGACAAGGAGTAATGGTTAGAAACTATCCACCGTATTTAAACCACCATAACAAATCAATATGTACTATAGTGAATTATTACCGAGTCACCCCTAGTACTAAATGGTCACCTCTCATGTATTATACTTATCTAAAAATCTCTATAATTATATAAACATCTCTATACTTATTCGGTCCAACTAATTACCCAAATGTACCCAAATGTACCCAAATGTAGCCGCAATGAAGTCAAATAATGGTCCTACAAGAATAAATCGGGCTGCCAATCACTTCTCGACTAGTATTTGGTGTCACGAAGTCACAAAAAATTGGTAAACTTAATTTAATCTGAGTTAATTGATCGAGTGCATGTACCTAACCTAACCTAACCTAACCTCGACTAGTATTTGGTGTCACGAAGTCAAAAAAAAATTGGTAAACTTAATTTAATCTGAGTTAATTGATCGAGTGCATGTACCGTACCTTACCTTACCTTACCTTACCTAACCTAACCTAACCTAACCTAACCTATACCTAACACAACTCAGATTAAATTAAGTTTACCAATTTTTTGTGACTTTATAACACCAAATACCAGTCAAGAAGTGATTAGCAGCCCGAATTATTCATGTAGGACCATCATTTGACTTCATTACGGCTACATTAGGGCAATTAGCCGGACCCTACTTATCTAGAGACGTCTAAAAATATATATATATAATTACATATGTACATATATATAAACATATGTGTAAAGTCTTAGACATTTAAATCATCTCCCATATCAATACACACCTATCACACACCTGTCACACACCTGTCACTTGTCATTTATTCACTATTATTCACTATTATTCACTATTATTCACTGTTATTCACTATTATTCACTATTATTCAGTTGTACTTACAGGTGTAGGAAGGACTAGAGCCAGATAATGAGGTGTTGTTATCTCAGTGGCCAGTCATCACACTCTCAAGTATTAACCTGTATATCATCTTAATTACCACTCAAAACATTAATAACATATATTAATTTATCTTTTTTTAATGCTGGAATTATTATAAATGTAATTAAATAATGAGGTATTATAAGATAGTGTTAATGAGACCTTCTGAACACCACTATCAGTTGTGTTTCATAACTAGACAACAGTACAGCCACTTGACTCCTGTACAGTAGTTAAGGTTACTACTTGTACTGATAGGAGGAAATGGGTAAAGAAAGGGCTCAAATTCAATATGGTTATTAAATTAAGCTCTAAGGAAAAATAAAGGGTTAAGGTTGTTAAAACGTCCTGTGATTGGTTGTGATGTAACTAGTTGTATGGAACTACCGAATAGGATCCTGGAGGCAGTTAGCTGTGGTGTATGTCTTATCCTCTTCACCACTGATCGGCTCGTTAACCGCTTGGACTATCGGTCACGTCTCTGTTACGTACTGTTGGCAAGTACTGGGCATGTACCGGGTCCTGAATGTACCTGAACCTGCTCCAGTGTTGGTCAAGTCTGGTCTTGAAAGAGCTCACACTCGGTGCCGTCACAACACTCTCTGGTAGATTGTTCCAAGAGTTTACAGCTCACACTCGGTGCCGTCACAACACTCTCTGGTAGATTGTTCCAAGAGTTCACAGCTCACACTCGGTGCCGTCACAACACTCTCTGGTAGATTGTTCCAAGAGTTTCACACTCTGGTCACTCCAAGGTGCCGTCACAACACTCTCTGGTAGATTGTTCCAAGAGTTCACACTCTCAGTTCACACCAGTCTGCCGACTCTCTGGTAGATTGTTCCAGAGTTCACAACTCTCACTCGGTGCCGTCACAACACTCTCTGGTAGTGTTCCAAGAGTTTACAGCTCACACTCGGTGCCGTCACAACACTCTCTGGTAGATTGTTCCAAGAGTTCACAACTCTCACTCGGTGCCGTCACAACACTCTCTGGTAGATTGTTCCAAGAGTTTACAGCTCACACTCGGTGCCGTCACAACACTCTCTGGTAGATTGTTCCAAGAGTTCACAGCTCACACTCGGTGCCGTCACAACACTCTCTGGTAGATTGTTCCAAGAGTTTACAGCTCACACTCGGTGCCGTCACAACACTCTCTGGTAGATTGTTCCAAGAGTTCACAACCCTCACTCCAGATTGTTTGCCCTCACAGTTTTCTGGACTTGCGGCTTCTTCAATCTTGAGCTGTGACCCTTGTGGGGCGAGCGTCCGCCAGCTCCAAGTAAGGACACTCAACTGAGTAGTGCCCCCTGAGATGTTTGTACACCTCAACTAGGTCACCCCTTACCCGTCTGTAGTATAAGCTAGGCAAGTTCAGGCGCTCCAATCTCTTAGGGTAGCTGAGGTGCCGAAGTGCAGGCACCAGTTTGGTGGCCCTCCTTTGAACATTTTCAACCAACTGACAGTCCCTAGCATATCTCGGGGACCAGGCGGGGTGACAGTACTCCAGATGAGGAAGCACTTCACTCTTGAAGATCGTTACGAGGGACGGACCGTCTAGATATCTGAACGACCTTCTTATAAGACCCAATAATTTATTTGCCTGATTTACCTTCTTCTCACAATGGCCCGAGAACTTCAGCTCATTGTCAACATACACACCTAGGTCCTTCTCACACACAGTCTCACCTAGTGCAGTTTCTTCAGCCCGTTGGGCGGTCCAACGAATTACCCAAAAGTATATTAAATCAGGGTAAAATCTTAACGAATATCTGTTATACATACACAAAACATGTCTAATAATATTTTTAGTGTAATTTTGTAAAAATAATTTGTAAGATGAAATAATAAACAGCGAAAAACTTTCAGTACTGGCGAACGCTTGGGGGGTACATGAAGTTGGTCCTCGCTCAGGATGGGATGGAGAAAGGAAACTCACAATGTGCTCTCTGTATACATATTGTATTGGATATACAGTGCAGCTTGGTGCTGGGAAGTGGCAGCGTGGTTACAGGCGTGATGTAGAGAGAGCTGGTTGGTGAGGATGCTCAGAGGAGGACCATGTAGTGGAAGTCTCCCCTACAACTGCGTAGCCACAGTATCCTAGCAACCAGCCACCTGCTACGTCTTCCCTAGCAACCAAACGAGCGGCCCAGGGGGGCGTCACCAGATGCCACAGTATCCTAGCAACCAGCCACGTCTTCCTAAGCAACGGAGTCAAGAAACCGGCGACTTCCCACGGTTTACTTCCGGCGGCTGTGTATATAAGCTCTGTCTCTCCATTGAGATTCATTCTGCCCTCGGTTCCTGAACACGCAGCACCTCCTCCAAGCAAGCTCCTCGCTGTCCAGCTTTCATTCAACCAGGAGGCCAGCAACAGGCAACATCTTCTCTAACGAAGCTCCTGCACATCTACCTCCTTCAACAAGCTACTCACCGCACGTCTCTACTGAGCAGCTCCTCACCACACGGCATCTCCAGCACCAGACTGTCTTTCATATAATTTATATTATATAAGAAAACCACCACCTAGAGTTTCCATCAATCCCATCCTGAGTGCTAGACAACATAATATCACGAAACCCTACAACCAGCTTGTGGGTCGCCATGTTCGCCGGCAGGAGCTAGAGCCGCCAGGCAGGAGCAGAGGAGGAGGTGTTGCTTGCTGGCGGCTGTAGGTAGAAAGAGAGGTAGGTCACCACGTGGTCAGGTCTTATATAGCGGAGGTAGGCGTGGCTTAATAGTTGACCTCCGTCATGTAAGGCGGCGCTGGTTGACCTAGACCACGAGGCATACACTGGGGAATTCGCGGGGTCGGCTACTCAGCGACAAGCGTTTGTAGGGGAGGAATCCACTACAGTACGCCCCAGGTGCATCCTCTTACACTTCGTGACATTGAATCTCAGCAGCCATTTCTTCGACCATTCCTGGAGCTCACAGAGATCCTTCTGCAGCTCATCACAGTCCACTTGGTTCTCGATTTCCCAAAATAACTTGGCGTCTTCGGCAAACATTTGTATGGAGGAGTGTACAACGTCAGGCATGTCATTTATGAAACAAACAAACAACAGGCCAAGGTACAAATATTACAAGGGAAATTACAACGGGATGAGGGAAGAGATGAGAGGTATCAACTGGCCTGACTCATGAAGGCACATGAACGCAGACACTGCGCTGAATATCATAACTAGTAAAGTGACCCATTTGATCGATGAATATACAGTATACCCAAGACCAAACCCAATGCCTCTAGGAATACGAGGGGATCTCTACACATGAACCATGCGGCAATCGACAGAATTAAGAAGAAAACCCAGAAATTCAAGATGAGGGTTGGGTCAAGCGATGAGCAAGACAGAAGGATGTATGCAAGAGCCAGAAACCAAGCAAAGATAGAGTGTAGAAGAGCTGAAAAGGAGTTCCAGAGGCTGGTTGCAAGCGAGGTCAAGTCAAACCCAAAGTCGTTTTATCGCTATGCAAAGTCGAAATTGAAAACACGAGTAGGTGTATCAGACCTGAGGCTTGAAGATGATAGTTACGCAGATTCTGACCAGGATAAAGCTGAGGCATTGAACAGCTTCTTTTCCTCGGTGTTCACAAGAGAGGATGCAACTAACCTTCCTGTGTTTGAGGACAGACGGTTCGACACAGCACTGACCCACATTGTGTTCACAGAAGAGGGTATTAGAAATAAACTGTCCAGGCTAAAGGTCCATAAGAGTCCCGGCCCTGACATGGTGCATCCTAGAGTGCTAAGAGAGTTGTGCAATGAGCTTGCCAAGCCCCTGAAGATCCTGTTTTGTAAATGCCTGGATGAACAAATGGTCCCCAGTGAATGGAAAGTGGCCTGTGTGAGTCCTATCTTCAAGAAGGGCGATAGTCACTCCACGAACAACTATAGACCGGTGAGCCTGACCAGCATAATATGTAAAGTACTTGAGAGTATTATCAGAGATGCCGAGATGGAACATCTACTACGAAACAACCTTGTAAAAGATTGCCATCATGGTTCTATGCCGTGGCACTCCTGCTTAACACAATTGCTCAAGGTATTGGATATTTGGACCCATATTCTGGAACGGGGTGGTAATATCGACAATATTTACCTACCATGAAATATAATTCCATTCCAGATATTGTTCATGTCTTATACAGGCCTATATTTGACATAGGCAAAGCCTTATATTAGATATTAAGTTCTTACATATTAATAACTAAATGCTTGATATTCATAATATAGGTTTCCTAATGTATTAGTAAACCATTGCTTTCATCAAAGAAAAGTGGCCCTACTAATCAATAATTCAATATATTCATGATATACTAATCAGTGAGTCAACACCACAAGTTTATGACTTACCTCTTATATTTATTTGGTTGCATATTTCTTCCCAATGTTTTATTAAGACCCTACATTCTTGTGTAGGGGTCAGTTGGGTCCCACAATGATCTTCTTTGGAGGACGACACTAATAATTGCTTTACTAGTCATATTTCAATGATCTGTGGGAAGACACAACAGTATATGGTGATGCTATTGATCTGGCATCCCACGAGCCTCTAGGCTATTTTAACCAACATGTTGGTTCACATAGCGGGTTATCGGGGTGAGAACCCGCTACCCGTGGTGAGTATAGCCACCCACATAAGATACTACGTGATCGTTCTTGCCTCCCTCCCGCTAGGCAGCCCGCTACCCTCCCCGCGAATTGCATGCAGTGTGGCCGTACCCTTCCAGAGGGGAGCAAACACCGAACCCCATCATAACTAATGAAGAGGGTGTGGCGGCCAAGCTGAAGCATCTAGCCCCAGTAGACACCAGCCACCAAGTAATTTTGTCCTTCAGATTTAACTGATATTTGGTTGACGACAAAACCAGGCCAAGGTGCAAATATTACAAGGGAAATTACAATGGGATGAGGGAAAATATGAGGGATATCCACTGGCCTGACTCACTAAGGTATAAAAAAAACAGACACTTCGCTGAATATCATATCCAGTAAAGTGTACCATTTGATAGAAAATATATACCTAAGACCGAACCCAGTGCCTCTAGGAATACAACAAGAGCCCTACACATGAGCCATGTGGCGGTCAACAAAGTTAAGAAGAAAACCCAGAAATTCACGATGTAAGTTAGCTCAAACGATGAGCAGGACAGGAGGATGTATGCAAGAGCCAGGAACCAAGCAAAGGCAGAGTGTAGAAGGGCCGAAAAAGAGTTTCAGAGGCTGGTTGCAAGTGAGGTCAAGCCAAACCCAAAGCGTTTTACAGCTATGCAATGTCGAAATTAAAAACGCGAGTAAGAGTATCAGACCCGAGGCTTGAAAATGGTAGTTACGCAGATTCTGACCAGGACAAAGCTGAGGCATTGAACTGCCTCTCTTCCTCGGTGTTCACAAGAGAGCATGTGAACAATCTTCCTGTGTTTGAGGACAGACGGTTTGACACAGCATTGACTCACATTATGTTCACACAAGAGGGTCTTAGAATTAAATTGTCAAAGCTAAAGGTTCATAAGAGTTCTGGTCCAGACATGGTGCATCCCAGAGTGCTTAGAGAGTTGTGCAACAAGCTTGCTGAGCCTTGAAGATCTTGTTCTGTAAATGCCTGGATGAACAAATGGTCCCCAGTGATTGGAAAGTGGCTCATGTGAGTCTTATCTTCAAGAAGGGCAATCCTCAGTCCACGAATAACTATAGACCGGTGAGCCTGATCAGCATAATATGTAAAGTACTTGAGAGTATTATAAGAGATGCCGCGATGAAACATCTACTCCAAAACAACCTTGTAAAGGATTGTCACCACTGTTTTATGCCGGGATGCTCCTGCCTAACAAAGTTACTCATGGTACTGGATTTTTTATTATTTTTATTTATTTATTATTATTATTTTTTTTAAGGGGAGTAACCCACCCTGGCACAGGTCACTGACCCACAACTAAAGGGCAAAAAAAAAAAGAGTAAAAATAAATTAAAAATAGAAAAGAAAAAGGTTATATTAATCTACAACACGAGATGCCGGAAAACCAGCTTTTTGAAGCAAGACAGATTGTATGAGTATGGAAACACAGAAGAAGGCAGAGCTTTCCACAGTTTGGCTGTGTGAGGAAAGAAGGATGTACTGTAATGGGTTATTCTCGTGTGACCGACATCCACAGAGAAACGGTGGGCACCGCGGGCAAGACGTGTGTTACGAGCCCACGGCCTTGCCGGCGGTACACAGGATGCCAAATCCACCGAACGGTGCCCGTTAAAGTACTTGTAAAAGAGAGAGAGTGAAGCAACATTGCATTGCCGTGAAAAGAAAGGGAAGAAAGATTATCAACTAAAGGAGGAGAGTTAATAAGACGAAATGCCTTTGTTCCACCCAATCTAACAGTTGAAGAGCCACCCCAGATATGAGAGCAGTACTCCAAGTTAGGACGAATGAATCCCTTATATACTTGAAGCAACTGCTCAGGAGTGAAGTAGCTACAGCATCTGTACAGCCTTCCCAGCTTTGGGGAGGCAGCATTAGCAATGTTGCTTGGACCCAAATTCTGGAACAGGATAGAAATACTGACAATATATACCTAGATATTGCCAAGGCTATCGACAGTGTACTCCACGAAAGGCTGAAAATTAAACTGGAAGGGTACGTAATTTGGGGAAGTGTCGTAGCTTGGATCGGAGACTTTCTCCATGCTCACAAGCAGTGTGTGGTGATTAATGGCACGAAATCATTATGTGTAGACGTCACAAGCGGGGTACCACAGGGCAGTGTATTGGGCCTGCTGTTGCTTGTTTGCTTCATAAATGACATGCCTGAGTGTACACTCCTCCATACTTGCAGATGATGCCAAGTTATTTCAAGAAATTAAGAACCAAGCAGACTGTGCAGAGCTGCAGAAGGATCTCTGTGAGCTCCAGGAATGGTCGAAGAAATGGCTGCTGAGATTCAATTTCACAAAGTGTAAGAAGATGCACCTGAGGCATACCAACGGTAAGGAGGCATATCATATGTCCCAATGGGATGAAGAAACTGCACTATTTGAAACTGAATGTGGGAAGTACCTAGGTGTGTATGTTGACAATGAGCTGAAGTTCTCGGTCCATTGTGAGAATTACGTGAATCAGGTAACTAAATTATTAGGTCTTATAAGAACATCGTTCAGATATCTAGATGGTCCGTCCCTAGTAGGTAGTAGGCTGCTATCAAACAGGGAGGTACTACCGCCTGGAAAAATATTGGAAGCATACTGTGATGTGTAATGGTAGATCCTGCTGCTATATGGCATCAAAAAATTTTTGACCAAGTCCCAGGTTGCTGATCGGACTTTCTGCCTCATTTACACACAATTGCAGGGTCAATTGTTTCTCTTACTTTGACAACACAACATACATATATTGTTTCTCACTATTGATCTTTATTTTCCATTTTGTGTAAATATTTCAATGACTAATCTTTTAAAATGTTAGTTTTTGTATAATGTAGAATTGATACGTAATTAAATGCATGAATTTGCTACCAGAGTTTATCAGTTAATTCATGTATAATACTTCTGATAAACTTCCTGTGTACTTATGTTTGAAATAATAAATATATGTATCTTTATATAATTTAGCTAAATATCTTTCTCGTCAGAAAAGGTCATCCCAACGATTATGAATAAACTCATTTAGAAATTCATCATTACTTCAGGACAAAATCGGACAGGTTTGAAATCGTCAATCAGCTGTAATTCTTAAGGGGGCAGGGCATCTTTTCTCAGCTGAGAAAAAATGCACTCTAGGAGACTGTCAGCACTACAGCACCTCAGCTACCCTGAGAGATTAGAGCACCTGCAATTACCTAGCTTATACTACAGACGGGCAAGGAGGAACCTGATTGAGGTGCAAAAAACATCTCAAAGGGCACTTCTCAGGAGAGTAACTTTTTCGGAGTGAGGGTTGTGACGGCACCAAGTGTGAGCTCTTTCAAGACCAGACTTGACCAACACTGTAGCAGGTTAATATACATTCAGGAGCTAGTGCATACCCAGTACTTGCCAACAGTGCATAACAGAGACGTGACCGACCACCCAAGCGGCTGACGAGCCAATCAGTCGTGAAGATAAAAGTAAGTAAAGTAAAATTAGTATTTAAACATTTCACCTTGATTATTAAATCAGGTTTATTTTTATCAATTGATCTCCACTACTGACTCCACCAGCACTAACAGAAACAAAGTGATATATTAAAGTACTGTACATACTTGTGTCCCTCAATATTGAAAATAGCCAAAACTCTTGAAGCTACTTGAATTAGTAAGACATTCAAGTCTTTGCTATTATAATAACCTACCATAATTATATACAGTTTCTACAGCGAAAGGAACATACAGTAGTTCCCTTTACCCTCTGGTGACCATTTGATCAGTGACCCAAAATGACAAGTTCACACCACCACTACACCCCCCCCCAACAGGATAACAAATACCATTGGTGTAGTGTTGTCCAGTTTTATTTTATTTATGACAAAATTCTCCTCAAACTGGGAATAAGAAATTATAATAAAAAAGTCCCCACAGATAATATCTGTCACTGAACTTGTAAGCAAAACATTTTAATTTATTTCTGCTTCTTTGCTTTTGCTTTTGCAGTTTGTTTAGGAGCTGCAGCTGCTGTAGAAGGCGCTGGTTTCTGCGGCCACAGGAGGAACCGCAGGGAGAACAGCCCCATGTAGAGGGTCTGTAGCGTCCAGGCGATGGTGGTGGTTGTTCTTAATCTCAGCTTCTGGCACTTGTACACTGCAAACATTGCCTCAATGATGTGTACACCCACCAATGCCAACAGTCTGTACATGAAAGAAACCAAAAATTATACTGTATATGAATCACAGTTTTATATGAACCAAATACTAAAGAAAATTGAATTATAATCAGGTATATTAGTGATGTGTGATGCTGAGGTGTGCTAGTGATGTGTGATGCTGAGGTGTGCTAGTGATGTGTGATGCTGAGGTGTGCTAGTGATGTGTGATGCTGAGGTGTGCTAGTGATGTGTGATGCTGAGGTGTGCTAGTGATGTGTGATGCTGAGGTGTGCTAGCGATGTGTGATGCTGAGGTGTGCTAGCGATGTGTGATGCTGAGGTGTGCTAGTGATGTGTGATGCTGAGGTGTGCTAGTGATGTGTGATGCTGAGGTGTGCTAGTGATGTGTGATGCTGAGGTGTGCTAGTGATGTGTGATGCTGAGGTGTGCTAGTGATGTGTGATGTTCAGGAGTGCTAGAGATGTGATGCCATTATGTGCTGGGATGTGTGCCAGTGATGTGTACTAGTGTGGTGTCATATTATGGTAAAGTATAAGGATATTTTAATGCAGCGCTGAAGAAGTGTGAGTAAAGTATGACACATCCACTATACCAACCATGAGGTACAGTACAGCCAAGGGTCTGCCATGCATATAACCCAACATGCAAGTGAATGATAAAGCTTGGTCATGCAGTACAGGTGACAGAATATGAGAAAAAATAAAGGGCTCTATTATATAATATCATGAAACACAGCAGAGTAACATGTCTGGGTGTAACTAGACAAATCAGTTACAGCGGGTTAAGGACCACAGTGTGGCGGTGAGAGTAGAATGCTCCTCGATGCTACAACACGAGCAAGGTGTTTGTGTTTGGGATGAGTTAAAATAAATTGACAACCAATAATGTAGTAGTAGAGTAGAGGGAGTGAGACAGCCGGGTAGAGTAGAGGGAGTGAGACAGCCGGGTAGAGTAGAGGGAGTGAGACAGCCGGGTAGAGTAGAGGGAGTGAGACAGCCGGGTAGAGTAGAGGGAGTGAGACAGCCGGGTAGAGTAGAGGGAGTGAGAGTAGAGTAGAGGAGTGAGACAGCCGGGTAGAGTAGAGGGAGTGAGACAGCCGGTAGAGTAGAGGGAGTGAGACAGCCGGGTAGAGTAGAGGGAGTGAGACAGCCGGGTAGAGTAGAGGGAGTGAGACAGCCGGTAGAGTAGAGGGAGTGAGACAGGGTAGTAGAGGGAGTGAGACACAGAGGAGGAGACAGCCGTAGAGTAGAGGGAGCGAGACAGTAGAGGAGGAGGAGACAGCCGGGTGAGGAGAGAGTGAGACAGCCGGTAGTAGAGGAGTGAGACAGCCGGGTAGAGTAGAGGGAGTGAGACAGCAGGGTAGAGAAGAGGGAGTGAGACAGCCAGGTAGAGTAGAGGGAGTGAGACAGCCGGGTAGAGTAGAGGGAGTGAGACAGCCGGGTAGAGTAGAGGGAGTGAGACAGCCGGGTAGAGTAGAGGGAGTGAGACAGCCAGGTAGAGTAGAGAAATGTAGGAAATTTCTAATACTGAAGATGGTGTTTGTGATCGCATAATTTTCTTGAGTAAATCAAACAATGATCAAATTGTGGTGATATTTTCTTGATATAAAACAGCTTAATATTTTTTCTTAGGTCCATCAAGATTTTCTCAAGCTGTTGAACAAACTCAGCTTGAATGTATGGAGTGACAGGGTAGTCCAGTGCGTCTACAGTCACCCACACAAGTCCTGTCGTCTCTCCTCCTGAACCCCGAGATTCAGACTCCTGAACCCGAAGCTGTAGACACCGATACATTATTCTGTCCATAAATGTTTCGGATTCACAAGTCTGAATCTTGGGGTTCATGGTTCAGGAGGAGAGATGACAGGACTTGTGTGGGTGACTGTACACAAAAGAGGGAACTATTAACAGCTATCAAAAAAGATACCAGTACAGTACAATGTTTGGGGTCAGCACCAACGTAATGAGTGCTACAGGTAAGCCCATAGGAAAGTGCAAAGCTTGACATATTCATAACCAAAATTTAGTCAACTTCAAGCATTTGTGAGCCACCCGGAGTCTTCTTACAACAAGCCTCATGACCACCACATACAGGTACTAGGCTGGTTGACATAAAATGAATAATAATGGGCTGATGCATCTTACAGGCTCGTGGGACAAACACCTCACTATATTCTTCTGTTGTACAATATATGGAAGGTGACGGTGGCAGCTGAATAATAAAAATTAACTACACATAAACCATGGGTGTTATCATCAGCAGATGCCTTAATTATAAACAAGTTATTTTACTAGCTGAAGCCTCTCACGGTGAATAAAGTGCAGGTCATTAGTAGTGTGAAGAGCAGCAGTAATGCATCTAACACTTTGCTTGTGTCAGGAGCAAGTCTTCTTCATGCTGTCTTGGTATGTCACAATAATGAAGATGTATTACTAAAGGAAAAATACATTTACCAATACATTTCCTCTAAGCTGCTAAGAGGAAAAAATTGTCATATGTTAGAAAATAATGAATATAAAACCCAGGGCACGTCCAGACCCTAGCGACCACAAGCTAGTCAGGTGCAGCATCAGGCGCCTCAATGTTGTACACCACAGGACAACCCCCACCCCCATACACACTACATTTACTGGATTCAAACAATAGTTTTTTTTTAACCAATTTTATGGAAAAAAATCTGGAGAAAAGTTATTTGAGTTCGACGATTGTTGTTTACTGTGGTAATAAGGTAGCAAGGATAATGTGAAGGAGAGGAGGGGACTGAAAGCTATCGTTAGGTAAGAGGACTGATGACTTGTTGTACACACACACACACACAACATGCATGTACACCCCACACACACACACATGTACAGCCCTGACCTCCTGGGGAACACACACACACCTCCTACAGCCCTGACCTCCTGGGGGACACACACACATGCCCTACAGCCCTGACCTCCTGGGACACACACACATGCCTTACAGCCCTGACCTCCTGGGACACACACACATGCCTTACAGCCTGACCTCCTGGGGACACACACACATGCCTACAGCCCTGACCTCCTGGGGACACACACACATGCCCCACAGCCCTGACCTCCTGGGGACACACACATACATGCCCCACAGCCCTGACCTCCCTGGGGACACACACACACATACATGCCCCAGCCCTGACCTCCCTGGGACACACACACACATACATACATGCCCTACAGCCTTGACCTGGGGGACACTATGCATGCCCCACAGCCCCTGGGACCTCCTGGGAACACGCACACATGCCCCAGCCCTGGACTCTGGGGACACACATACATGCCCTACAGCCCTGACTCCTGGGACACACACACCCTACAGCCCTGACCTCCTGGTGGACACATACATGCTCTACAGCCCTGACCTCCTGGGGGACACACACATGCCCTACAGCCCTGACCTCCTGGTGGATACATACATGCCCTACAGCCCTGACCACTTGGTGAACACATACATGCCCTACAGTCCTGACCTCCTGGGACACACACATGCCCTACAGCCCTGACCTACTGGGGAACACACACATGCCCTACAGCCCTGACCTCCTGGGGAACACACACATGCCCTACAGCCCCTGACCTCCTGGGGACACACACACATGCCCCACAGCCCTGACCTCCTGGGGACACACACACATGCCCTACAGCCCCTGGGACACACACACACACACACATGCCCTACAGCCCTGACCTCCTGAGACACGCATTACATGCCCTGGCTAGTCCCACCCACTGGGGACACACACATGCCCTACAGCCCTGACCTAATGGGGGGACACACACACATGCCCTACAGCCCTGACCTCCTGGGGGACACACACACATGCCCTACAGCCCTGACCTAATGGGGTGACACACATACAGGCCCTATGGCCCTGACATCCTGGGGGACACACACACACACATGCCCTACAGCCCTGACCTACTGGGGGACACACACACATGCCCTACAGCCCTCTGACCTCCTGGGGACACGCACACATGCCCTACAGCCCTGACCTACTGGGGACACACACATGCCCCACAGCCCTGACCTCCTGGGACAGCACACACATGCCCCTAAAAGTCTCTGACCTCCTGGGGACACACACACATGCCCTACAGCCCTGACCTACTGGGACACACACACATGCCCTCACAGCCCCTGACCTCCTGGGGACACACACACATGCCCTACAGCCCTGACCTCCTGGGGACACACACACATGCCCTACAGCCCTGACCCCATTGGGACACACACACATGCCCCCTACAGCCCTGACCTCCTGGGGGACATGCCCAGCCCCTCCTGGGGAACACACATGCCCTACAGCCCTGACCTCCTGGGAGACACACACACATGCCCTACAGCCCTGACCTCCTGGGGGACACACATGCCCCACAGCCCCACCTCCTGGGGGGGGACACACATGCCCCCTACAGCCCTGACTCCTGGGGACACACATGCCCCATGCCCTGACCTCCTGGGGACACACATGCCCTACAGCCCTGACCTCCTGGGGACACACATGCCCCCATGTTCTGACCTGGGGGGGACACACACACACATGCCCCATGCCCTGACCTCCTGGGACACACACACATGCCCTGGTGGCCCTGACCTCCTGGGAGACACACACACATGCCCTGGCAGCCCTGGACCTACTGGGGACACACACACATGCCCTACAGCCTGACCTCCTGGGGACACACACACATGCCCTACAGCCCTGACCCCACACACACACATGCCCTACAGCCCTGACCTACTGGGGACACACACATGCCCCACAGCCCTGACCTCCTGGGGACACACACACATGCCCACAGCCCTGACCTCCTGGGGACACACACACATGCCCCACAGCCTGACCTCCTGGGGACACACACATGCCCTACAGCCCTGACCTCCTGGGGAACACGCACACACATGCCCTACAGCCCTGACCTACTGGGGGACACACACACATGCCCTACTGAGTTGCTTAAACAACTTTGAAATATGTCATGAGTTATAGAATAAATTGTGATCATCAGAAAGTGTAAAATGATTATAGAAACTTAAGTTATACTGAAAAATGGATAGGGTGGAGGGGCATATTATAATGCTTCTAATATGACGTCATTGATCTTTGGTTACTGAAATACTAAAGAATTGAAGAATGGAATGCACAACAAGCAATACTCAGCCAATGAGACAGCGTATGATGTAATGCATGAACATGTAGAGTGCGGTCATTATGCTCATTATGCTGGCTCATTGTCCTCGCGCGGCAGACCCATCGACCCTACAGTGTCAATTATTGTTATTTATTGTCAAACATTTCTCTCGTCATGGTCTCCATTTTTCTCAACAGTTCTACGTGCTTCATGTGGTTCACCTAAAACAATAGAAAAACCGGAAAATAACAGAGAAATCACATCCCTGTAACACACTCCCACACAACACACTCCCACACAACACTCCCACACAACAAACACCCACACAACACACTCCCACACAACACCCACCTTCCTCAGCCCACAACTAAGGGGCCATAGACTGTGTCTAACAAAGACAATATAAGATGATTATTGAACACCTCTAAGACCTTGCTGTTATATGTGCACACACAAAAGATTGGATAAAATACATTGCTTCAATCTTGTGTTTGTACATTCACATGTGTAGAAGGGTGAGTGTACAGGTGCACATGTGGATGAGTGTACAGGTGCACATGTGGATGAGTGTACAGGTGCACATGTGGATGAGTGTACAGGTGCACATGTGGATGAGTGTACAGGTACACATGTGGATGAGTGTACAGGTGCACATGTGGATGAGTGTACAGGTGCACACAAACATCCACTCCACCACTATGCCAAGAAAGAAAACAGTTATTGTACAAGTAATACAATATTCACTTACCCCAACTTTAAGGCAAACTTGTATTCTGTGGCCACCAGCGTAGCATACTGAGCTATAGGGCCCAAGTGTTGTGGAGTGATATACTTATGGTCCACGTATGTCACCTGTCAACACAATATATATTAATACTTTGTTTACCTGTACGTCACCTCTCAAAACAATGACCCTCACTATGGCAGGTGTCCCCCATATACATCAGGTGTGGTAAAGATGACCATCCCTGTACAGTATAGTTACAGTATTGTGTAAACTAGATTGTCTCATAACTTTTTAATTGATATTTATAAATGTTTCCATGAAGGTGGGTGTTGAAGTAAGGTCAAAGACATAATCTACCTCAAACTGACTGATCCACCCACTGACAAGCCCCCCATGAGACTGTGACTTATTTTACTCATCCAAATTGAACAGATTATTGATCTAAATTGTGACCAGTGAAGAGCCCAAGACAGTTGTAGAATATTAACATGTAGCCCAAGTAACGGCAGTACAGGTCACACAAAGATCCTAAGAGTCTCACATTAAACAAGAACAAAAAGGATACTTGACAACCCTAATTGATTACTCTATTTTACTACATGCAATTAACAGGAACCTAAATATGACGAGGGATAAGTTCAGATCACATCATCGTAGAGAACACTTACGGTTCTCGGATAAAATAATGACCGAGTATAGTCAGAGCCGGGAGTGAAAGAATGGCTGTATTATATATAAGGCAGAATAACTAATATAACTCGGTACAACAAGGATATATGACTAATTCTGTGGCAGTGAGAAACATTGAGTAATGCTATCAATACATTTACTACATCAATATTACAGTAGTCCCTCGGCTAACGAACGGTTCGATTAACGAAACTTAGGTTAACGAATTACCTTCCATAAGGATCTTCAATTCAGTTAATGAACAAAACTTCAATTAACAAAATCCTTACGAACAACACGTTTTGTTGTGAGCATCAACTGATCGGCTGATGGGCTAGTCTGCCAATTCAGTAATCTGTTCTATGTTTACATTCATTTCCAGTGGAGTAAATATCAAGAAAGTTGTGCTCTTTAATATTTTTGCAGTTTTTATATTAAAATTATTCGTCATTTTAAAATTTAGTTAAGTACAGGGAACTAGTTTTTTGTGCGCCCATCAGCCGCTTGACTCGGCCACCAGGCGTCAGTGTGGCTTTGTTGACAGTGGAGTGAACATCTATTTTGTTGGTGTCTTGAATATTTTTGCATTTTTTCATTGAAATAATTGGTCATTCTGAAATTTGGTTAACATATTGATAATATATAGCGCAGTGCAGTGTTGATTTAAATGAAATAATCTTGAATTACACCTAGTGAACTTAAAATTTTATTGGTGAAATGACGGCATGAAGCATGGGATCCCCTGAAAGGTGATTTCTCCTCCATCCCCACTTCCTTCTCTTCTCCCTTCTCCTCCACCCCCACTTCTAATTCCCATCATCATCATCATCAACCAGGAGCCTTCTACATACACACCTCAAAGTAAGTGTACTTTACTGCATTTTTTTTTACTTTGTATGTACTTTTCTGCGAGCTGGAACCAATTACCCAATATCCCATTGAAACAATGGATTCAGTTAACGAAAGACTGTGGAACGAATTGTGTTCGTTAACCGAGGGACCACTGTATTACATTTACCACATCAATATTATTACATTTACTACATCAATATTATTACATTTACTATATCAATATTATTACATTTACTGTCACATCATTAAAATATTCTAGGGAGGTAAACACACTACATCACATTTATGGAACAAAGATCTAAATGATGCTGTATGGTAGGGAAATTCTTCATTATACACAGCAATATCTCTGTTAGCCGGAATACCTCAAACCCGGAACTCTCCGATAACCGGAATTTAAATTTTTCTAAGAAAATTGTCCCCAAAGCCGGAAATTTTCCAGAAAATTCCGGCTTTGGGGACAATTTTCCAGATAATTCCAAGAAAATGTTCCCAATACCCGAAAATTTCCGGGGACGAGGGAATTTTTATCCGGGTTTGAGAGACGAAAATCTGGAGCATTTACCGGAAATTCCGAGATTTTTTTTTTCGATACAGGTACCCAAAAAATTCTGGAAATGGGGTATAATTTTCCGGGCCCGAGAGATGATGTAATGGACACCATCCGGAACTTCCGAGAAAATTTTTCCGTTATCGTACCCAGAAATCTCATTACCGGAAGTGTTCTGCACCATTTGCTCCGGCTAACAGAGATATCACCGCATTGTTTATACAAGATTGGAAAAGCATTTCCTTTCCTCAAAATCATGTTGCCTGCCTGACTTATGAACTACCAATACTGTACAACTTACCACAAGCAGGCCAAGTGCCGCAGTGTGGAGGATGATGATGATCGGGTTAACCAACTTGAAGTAGTTGGAGGGAAGCTTCCTGTTGCGAGTCATCTTCAAGAGGTCCTGAGAAACACAGACCAGTGTTAGAGCAGACACAGATACTTCCTCATTACTCTCTCTCTCTATATACACAACACACAATAATACAGTACAAACAGTAGGCCCTTCAAATTCACGGGGGCCAGGTTCTCAAAATGGCTGTGAATCGCCAAATACGCGAATAACATTTGCTGACCGTGTTTACATTTTTTACTTGTGTACAAAGAAATGTATATTCCCTTTATGTGTTTTCCCCTCAGGACAATTATTTCTTTTACCTGAACTGTACTGTACTGTACACGTGTTACCTCAAAAGTTATAACTTGCATGAAAGGTAAGGACTCAAATACACCAAGGGAGACAATACAATACTGTACTGTACAGAACTAAACTCAGTATCTGCCAAAGGAAGTGTTTCCTGTCTCCACATCCAGGCCCTCACAGCTGGCCCAACAAGTGTGTCTATACTGTACAGTGTGTCTATACTGTACAGTGTGTCTATACTGTACTGTACTGTGCCTATACTGTACTGTACTGTGCCTATACTGTACTGTGTGTCTATACTGTACTGTACTGTGCCTATACTGTACTGTGTGTCTGTACTGTACTGTGTGTCTATACTGTACTGTGTGTCTATACTGTACTGTGTGTCTGTACTGTACTGTACTGTGTGTCTGTACTGTGCTGTGTGTCTATACTGTACAGTGTCTATACTGTACTGTACTGTGCCTACCTATGCTATGCCTGCTTACTGTGTGTCTGTACTGTACTGTGTTATCTATACTGTACTGTGTGTCTATACTGTCCTGTGTGTCTATACTGTGCTGTGCCTATACTGTACTGTGTGTCTGTACTGTACTGTACTGTGTTTCTCATACTGTACTGTGTGTCTACTTGCTGTGTGTCTATTATCCTGTGTGTCTATACTGTACTGTGCCTATACTGTACTGTGTGTCTATACTGTATGTGTGTGTCTATACTGTGCTGTGCTGTGTGTCATACTGTACTGTGTGTCTACTCTTTGTACAGTCGTGTCTATACTGTACTGTACTGTGTGTCTATACTGTACTGTGTGTCTATACTGTGCTGTACTGTGTCTATACTGTACTGTACTGTGCCTATACTGTGCTGTGTGTCTACTGTGCTGTGTCTATACTGTGCTGTACTGTGTGTCTGTACTGTACTGTGTGTCTATACTGTACAGTGTGTCTATACTGTACTATTACTGTAGTGTGTCTCTGTCTGTGTTTCTATACTGTACTGTACTGTGCCTATACTGTACTGTGTGTCTATACTATGCTGTACTGTGCCTATACTGTACTGTGTGTCTGCTGTACTGTACTGTGTGTCTATACTGCTGTGTGTCTATACTGTACTGTGCTGTGCTATACTGTACAGTGTGTCTATACTGTCTGTGTGTCTATACTGTACTGTACTGTGCCTATACTGGCCTGTGTGTCTATACTGCTATGTGTCTATACTGTACTGTACTGTGCTATACTGTACTGTGTGTCTATACTGTACTTTGTGCCTATACTGTACAGTATTGTCTATACTGTACTGTGTGTCTATACTGTCTGTGCTGTTGCCTATACTTTGCTGTGTGTCTATACTGTGCTGTTGCCTATCTGTACTGTGTCTATACTGTACAGTGTTCTATCTGCTACTGTGCTGTGCCTATACTATTACAGTTATGTCTATACTGTCCTGTGTGTCTATGCTGTCTGTGCTATGTTGTCTATACTGTCTTGTTAGTCTATACTGTACTGTGTGTCTATACTGTACTGTGTGTCTATACTGTGCTGTGTGTGCCTATACTGTACTGTGCTGTGTGTCTACTGTCCTGTGTAGCTATCTGTACTGTGTGTCTGTACTGTACTGTGTCTATCTGCTGTACTGTGTGTCTATACTGTCTGTGTGTCTATACTGTGCTGTGTGTCTATACTGTACTGTGTGTCTATACTTGCTGTACTGTGCCTATACTGTACAGTGTCTATACTGTCCTGTGTGTCTATACTGTGCTGTACTGTGTGTCTGCTGTCCTGTGTGTCTATGCTGTACTGTGTGTCTATACTGTGTGTCTATACTGTACTGTGCTGTGTGTCTATGCTGTACTGTGTGTCTATACTGTACTGTGCTGTGTGTCTATACTGTACTGTGCTGCTATACTGTGTCTGTATATGTGTCTATACTTGCTGTACTGTGTCTATACTGTCCTGTGTGTGTCTATACTGTACTGTGTGTCTATACTGTACTATTTGTCTATACTGTACTGTGTCTATACTATCCTGTGTGTCTGCCTGTACTGTACTGTGTGTCTATACTGTCTGTGTGTCTATACTGTCCTGTGTGTCTATACTTGCTCCTGTGTGTCTATACTGTCTGTGTGTCTATACTGTGCTGTACAGTGTGTCTATACTGTACAGTGTGTGTCCTATCTGTACTGTGTGTCTATACTGTGTGTCTATACTGTGCTGTACTGTGCCTATATCTGTGCAGTGTGTCTGTACTGTGCTGTGCCTATACTGTACTGTGTGTCTGTACTGTACTGTGTGTTATATGCTGTCACTGTGTGTCTATACTTTGTGCCTATACTGTACTGTGTGCCTGCCTATACTGTACAGTGTGTGTCTATACTGTGCTGTACTGTGTCTATACTGTGTGTGTGTCTATACTGTGCAGTGTGTCTACTCTGTGCTGTGCCTGTGCTGTACAGTGTGTCTATACTGTACTGTGCTGTTCTACTGTACAGTGTGTCTATGTACTGTGCTGTGCCTATCTGTACAGTGTGTCTGTCTGTACTGTGTGTCTATACTGTACTGTACTGTGCCTATACTGTACTGTGTGTCTATACTGTGCTGTACTGTGTCTATACTGTACAGTGTGCCCTGCCATGTGTGTCTATACTGTACTGTACTGTGCCTATACTGTACAGTGTGTATACTGTACTGTGTGTCTATACTGTACTGTACTGTGCCTATACTGTCCTGTGTGTCTGCTGTACTGTGCTGTGCCTATACTGTCCTGTGTGTCTATACTGTGCTGTACTGTGCCTATACTGTACAGTGTGTCTATACTGTACAGTGTGTCTATACTGTACTGTGACTTGCCTATACTGTCCTGTGTGTCTATACTGTGCTGTACTGCCTTTTTACTGTACAGTGTGTCTACTGTACTGTGTGTCTCTGTACTGTACTGTGCCTACTGTACTGTGTGTACTGTACTGTGTGTCTATCTGTACTGTGTACTGTACAGTGTGTACTCTGTACAGTGTGTCTCACTGTACTGTGCCTATACTGTACTGTGTGTCTATACTGTACTGTGTGTCTATACTGTACTGTGTACTGTGCCTATACTGTACAGTGTGTCTATACTGTGCACTGTGTGTCTATACTGTACTGTACTGTGCCTATACTGTACTGTGTGTCTATACTGTGCTGTGTCTATACTATCCTGTGTGTCTATGCTGTACTGTGCTGTGTCTATACTGTGCTGTGTGTCTATACTGTACTGTGTGTCTGCTGTACTGTGCTGTGCCTATACTTGTACTGTGTGTCTATACTGTACAGTGTCTACTGTACTGTACTGTGCCTATACTGTACAGTGTGTCTATATCCTGTGTGTTCTATGCTGTACTGTGTGCCTATGTACTGTGTGTCTATACTACTGTGCTGTACTGTGCCTATACTGTACTGTGTGTCTATACTGTACTGTGTGTCTATACTGTGCTGTGTGTCTATACTGTCCTGTGTGTCTATACTGTACTGTGTGTCTATACTGTGCAGTTATTTCTCTGTACTATGCTGTGTCTATACTGTACTGTGCCTATACTGTGCTATGCTGTGCCTATACTGTACTGTGTGTCTATACTGTACTGTGTGTCTATACTGTCCTGTGTGTCTATACTGTACTGTACTGTGCCTATACTGTACAGTGTGTCTGTACTTACAGTGTGTCTATACTGTACTGTGCCTATTCTGTACAGTGTCTATACTGTACAGTGTGTCTACTCTGTACTGTACTGTGCCTATACTGTACAGTGTGTGTATACTGTACTGTACAGTGTGTCTATACTGTACAGTGTGTCTCTCTGTACTGTACTGTGTGTCTATACTGTACTGTGTGTCTATACTGCTGTACTGTGCCTATACTGTACAGTGTGTCTATACTGTACAGTGTGTGTCTACTCTGTACTGTGCTGTGCTCTATACTGTACTGTGTCTATACTATACTGTACAGTGTGTCTATACTGTACAGTGTGTCTATACTGTACTGTATATTGCCTATACTGTGACAGTGTGTCTATACTGTACAGTGTGTCTGCTATACTATACTGTGCTTCTCTGTACTGTGTGTCTGTGCTGTGCTGTGTGTCTATACTGTGCTGTGCTGTGTGTCTATACTGTACTGTACTGTGCCTGCTGTACTGTGTCTATACTGTCCTGTGTGTGTCTGCTCATACTGTGCCTATGCACTGCTGTGTGTCTATACTGTACTGTACTGTGCCTATACTGTACTGTGTGTCTATACTGTCCTGTGTGTCTATACTGTACAGTGTGTCTATACTGTACAGTGTGTCTATACTGTACTGTACTGTGCCTATACTGTACTGTGTGTCTATACTGTCCTGTGTCTATACTGTAGTGTGTCTGTACTGTACTGTGTGTCTATACTGTGCACTGCTGTGCCTATACTGTACTGTGTGTATACTGTCCTGTGTGTCTATACTGTACTGTGCTGTGCTTACTGTACTGTACTGTGCCTATACTGTACTGTGTGTCTATACTGTCCTGTGTCTATACTGTACAGTGTTACTGCTGTGTCTATACTGTACTGTACTGTACTGTGTGTCTATACTGTCCTGTGTGTCTATACTGTACTGTACTGTGCCTGCACTGTGCTGTGTGTCTATACTGTCCTGTGTGTCTATGCTGTACTGTACTGTGTCTATACTGTGCTGTACTGTGCCTATACTGTACAGTGTGTCTATACTGTACTGTGTGTCTATGCTGTCCTGTGTGTCT